TAATTTATTATCATGTAAAAATTACAGTAAAATATGTTTGCAAATCTTTGCCATTGAGCCTATCCTTTCACGAGAAGGCCCATTCAAGTTGTCATGGCCTTTGGATGTCAGGTCACAAGCAGCCGTCCTTGAGGGATGGTATCGACTCTATAAGCTTCGTGCTCCACCGACTTACGTTGACGAAATTCCTCCACGTAAATGGGGCTCCAATGCCATTTCCTTGAAGTAGAGAAAGAAAAAGGGTATCTGCTTGGCCAAGTATTCCCTTAAAGACGGAGCAATGCATCTGACTGCCATTCTGATCCAGTGGGGAACCATAAGCACAAACTCCTCGTTTTCACACTCCGCCATTTCCATAATTGCCCCCAATAATTGGTGGCAGTGGAGCTCCACTTCTTATTACGGGAAATACGCCGTACTTGTTAATCCTGTTTGCATTGGTTCATGCACAGATTTACGTGAAATAATTCCCGGAGCTTTGACTTGTACACGTCTTCGCTCTACAGCGCCTAAAGCACCTTTTCCATCAATAGGTACTCCTAACGCATCAACAACACGACCCAACATAGATCTTCCTACAGGAACATCTACAATAGATCCAGAAGAGTTTATGCCCAATGGATTATTGGAACCATATTGATGTAAAGCAGCAATATGAAGAATACTAGCACCTGCAATTATAAAAGGAAGTAATGAAGACTAAAAAAGTGATTGTTAACCTAAACCATCTATACATACCAACTTTTTCACAGATCTCTGGCTGAGTGGCTGGAGACATTGGTTTGCTAAATCAACATACAAGTTGATACACAACAAGATTGTACCATGGGTTCAAGTCCCTTTACCCCTGCTCCATCCTCTTCTTCTTCTTCTTCTTCTTCTTTGTTTGCTTCTTCTTCTTCTTCTTCTTCTTTGTTTGCTTCTTCTTCTTCTTCTTCTTCTTTGTTTGCTTCTTCTTCTTCTCTCACTCTTCTTCAATCCTCCTCACCTTCTTCACTACCTTCTTCTTCTTCTTCTTTCTTTCTTTCTTTCTTTCCCCCCTGTCTTCTTCTTCTTTCTTCTGCAGAGTCCCCTAACTGATAGTACTCCTCCTTAACCCTCGTTGTGGTTTAAGATCAACTACTGTAGTGCCCTGCAGCTGATACCCTGAGGTGGGCACCAACCAACCACCGCCTCCACGGTACCTATGACAGAAAATTAAAAGGAGACTGTCACTAACCCACTAACCAACCAGACAGAAGACTCGAGGAGGTTCACAGCCCATCGTAAGCCAGCAAAAACCCCACACAGTGACGAAAGGTCTACCGCACGCAAAGATACACTCAAGATGCACTGTTGGCACCACAGGTACAGCGTCGCAGTGTGCTGTTGACACCGACCACTGCTGTCAAACCCGACCGGGGGAAACCAAACAGGGAGCTATCGGAGTGATACACATGTCGTCATTGAGAATTGCACATTGAATCTTGGCAGAAAGGGAGGAAAGGACCAAGACCAGGAAGCGCGGGCTGTGACAACTGTTTGAACAGAGTTTTGCCGACTCATCAAGAGGCTAAACCTTCCACAGTCTACAGAATACACTAATGACGTGACTAATCGACAATAACATACAAGTCATAATCCACCATAACCCCACAACCTGCGTAGCACGGCGAACGTGTTTGCGCCCCTTCACCTTTCGCGCGAACAGCTCACGAACATGTGCGGATGAACATTTTTTTTTAAATAAAAGATTAAAAAAATAAAAAAAACATTAGTTTTTTTTTTCGGTTTTTGATTTTTAACTCATGATTGGCTACGAATTTGAACATGACGAGTTCGCCTCCGGACATGAACACAGTGCTAGGTAGCCCACAACTAATAACACTGTAATTCCTGACGCCGTCACCGTAATTCCCATTGCCACCACCTGCAGGGTATTTCTCCACTTCAGTCGGCTTTTCACTCTGTATATGGGACGCTGGACCCGCTTTCCAGCAGGTGATGCTCCCCACAATAGATGGAGCCTCTCCCCCGGTGCTAGCGGTGTCTGCCCTTATCAGCACCTCTAGCACTGGAAGGGGTTGTTCTCAAAAAAAAAAATAATAATAATAATAATAATAATCATAATAATAATAATAAAATAAAATAAATCCTCAAAGCCATCGGCTCTGGGAAGACTCGCCGCATTGCCTGGAGCCTCACAAGGGTGTTTTCCTTCGGCCTCAGAGCCTCGAGTGAGACTTCATAGCGTGTCATCTACTGTTCGCAAGTCCCACCCTTGTGAGAGCCTCGATTGGACGCTAACTGCTTATAAGACAAAGGCCTCCGGTTCTTCAAGTTCGGTTGTAGGCTCTACATATATCGTCAATCAGAATTGTCCGTAAACCATAGGCAGAGAGGGAGATATATATATGTATCTGGGTGAGGGATCGTCTGCTTTGATTGTTGCCACAATTACCTTGAGGGCAGTGGTTGGTGCTGACCTCAGGGTATCCGTTGTCAACTTGTCGGGCAGTCATTGATGCTTAACCACAACCAGGGTTAAGGTGGATTATCACTTAAACCTGAAGTATTACAAAATACTAAAATGAGAAATAAAACGGAATGAACTGGGTTTCTGGCACATATAACCATAACGCCAGAAACTTAACGTATTCGGTTATGATAAATCCTTACATTTAAGTTAGTAGAATCCAAGTATAATGGAATTTGGATTTGTTGAAAAATTCTACAGTGTAATCAGTTTAACTTAGGCGATTCTGCAGACTGTTGAGGGTTCAACCTCCTAATGAGTCGGTGAAACGTCACAAGTTCCTCACAACCCCTCGTTTGTTCCTCTCTTCTCCGTCTTGGCTGGCCGTTTACCAGACAATTTTGTTTGACAATATATGTAACCATCCGCAAAGACGGAGAAGAGGACGACAAACAAGGGGATATGACAAATTGTTTCGCATATATATCGTCGAATATATACATATATATACCTTTAAACAGACTTTGTTGCGGAGTAAACCGTGGACAACAAATGAGGGGTTGTGTCAAACTGTTTCGTCGGAGTTTCACCGGCTCATCAGCAGGATGAACCCCCAACAATCTGCAGTATCCCCTCACTGATTACACTGTAAGTGATAATCCACCTTAACCCCGGTGATGATTAAGCATCAACGACTGTCCGACAACTGACGCCCTGAGGTGGGCACCAACCACTACCCTTCAAGCACCAGTACATGGGCACCTGGGCCGCGGATCTGACACCTCAAATTCTGGAGGCGCAAAACGAAAACGACGCTGGTCGAATTAATCAACGGCGGGCCTAGCGTTTGATGTTTTGGCCTCGTTTTGGGCCGCGGGTCTGACACCTCAAATTCTGGAGCCGCGAAACGAAAACGACGTTGATCGAATTAATCAACGGCGGGCTTAGCATTTGATGTTTCAGCCTCGTTTTCTTGTGGCGACAAGTTTCAGACTGCAAGGTACCTGTGATGACAATCAAAGCAGACTATCACTCACCCAGATCAGATTGAAAACTCTACAGACTATTGGTTCACACTCCATCACAAGCCAACAAAACACCCACGAATTTGCACGAAACAAAGAAAGGTCTTTCATGGCCAAAAAATACACTCTTGACACGCTGCTGGCACTAGAGGCACAGCATGGCCACGAAGTGACGGCCCCAACCACTGCCACTCAACCCTGGAGAAAAGAGTAGCAGGGTGCTAGCGAAGTCGTGGTATATATCGTCAAACAGAACTACCCGATAAACCGTGGGCAGAAAGGGAGACGAGGACAACAAATGCGGGGTTGAGGGGCTGTTACAAACTGTTTCGTCGGAGTTTCACGGACTCATCAAGAGGTTGAACCGTCAACAGAGTGCAGAATCCCCTAAGTGATTACACTGTAAGTGATAAATGACCTTAACCCCGGTTGTGATTAAAGCATCGACGACTGCCCGACAACTGACACCTTGAGGTGGGCACCAACCATGGCCCTCAAGGTACCTGTGACAAAAATCAAAGCAGACTATCACTCGCCGACATCAGATGGAAAACTCTACAGACTATCGGTTACATGTATATATACATATGTACTATATATACATTGTGT